CTTAGAAAGAAATAATTGAAAGCTTGAAGGAGGAGGAGGAGAGAAGAAGGGGCAAGGAAGGACATTTTTGGTGCTGTTAAGAGAGAGAAGGAGGAGGAGAGAAGAAGGGGCAAGGAGGGAGATTTTTGGTGCTGTTTTCATAAGAGAAGGGGACTAAATAAGGTTGCCTGAGGTGTGTATGCCATATGGATGCAAGGATCGCACCAAATGGTATACTGGACCGCTACCCAACCTCAAGTGACCCTACTTAGCCTGATCCAGCTTGCTCCAAATGACCCAATGTGGGCAAGCTCTTAAAAATCTATTACAAACAGCAAAGTGAAGTTAAAGGTTGCTGAGCAACATATTGTGTAGGGACTACAATGGAGTGGCCACTTAGCTAAAATAGTCTTAACAGATGCACAGCAGCATTTTTGGGAACAGAAACTTTATTTGCTGACATATGTGGGTGGAAAGGGAAAGGATCAATATTGTCACTTAACCATTGTGAGTATTTATAACTCTTCTCAGATAGCTTTTGAGTATGAAATTCAAATCATAGTAAGCATGACACTGCAAATACTGAAAACCACATTCTTGAAGATAGGGAAAAATAGGTTAAGAAATACAATGGAGTTTAGAGACCTACAGAAAGTTTGTTCTGTAAAAGTCTTTTTCTCTTACTCTCCCTCCCCCCTTTCTCTCTCACACACAGAGTCACGGAGACTTTCGGTTCTGTGGGTGTTTCTCGGAATAAGCAAGCCAGGTGAACCTTTTAAATGCTCCTGCTTTGTACAGAATGCTAAGGCAACCATCTCTTGTAGCCACAAGCCATGCTTTCGATTTGGGTCAGGACAGAGCTGCACAAGGTTTAGACTATACAGCAGAATCTCACAGAACACTTTTTGCATCAAATATTATTTGGAGCAAAGCTAACTTCAGTATTTTCCATTCCCTGTTCTGTAGGCTCTGGAGTTTGTTAAAACTGAAAACAAAGTGACATTTGTTCCCTTGTAATTTGCAAGAATAAAATTCAACCCCGCTTGTTTTCGCATCCATGTCTTAGCAGTGCCTAGATGACAGCTCCCTTCTTTTCTGACAGGACGTTAATATCTAATTTTAGCATATCTTAAATGCCCCGTGGTTTCTGCATTTCTATCCTTTTTAATGCCTGTCTATCTGTCTTGCCTACCTGCCCTTTTTCATTTATATGCTGCTTTTCTCCTGTTGGGGGGACTCAAATCTTAATTTTTTAAAAAAACAGCAATAAATTATACATTAAAACAATTACATTTTAATAGCAATTAAAATACATTTAATGATTAAAACTTTAAAAACAAACTTACTCAGTTAAAAAACAGGATTCAGGGATCAGTAATGATTAGTAAAAACCTGCCTGAAAGGGGGGTGGCGGTCTTCAATTGCCAGTGGAAGGGTAAACGGAATCAGCTGGATCTCTCAAGGGAGAGCATTCCACATGTTCAAATGTGTGTGCAATGGTAATGAGACCAAGAGGAGGGCCTCCATGAATGACCTACTTTAGCATAATAAATTGCAGTTAGCGTAGGCCAATTTGAATCAATGGAATTTATGGATTAATAAATCTTAAATAAAGCCTACTTTATTGCTATATATTACATTAGGCAACAAGATTTTTGGCACATGTTTAATCCCATCTTTATGACTTAATTGCTTTGTTTTAAATTCCTGTTTGTTTTATCTATGTGTGGATTACCTTGAGTCCCTTCACTGAGAGAAATGTGGCATGAAAATGAAATAAATAAATAGATTCTGAAGGGGGGAAAACAGCCAATATCATGTGATAATTTGTGAAGCTTGGAAATATACTTTTTTTGTCCCCTGGCTTCCAGAATTTCCTACTAGCCAACATATGGTCCCAATGGCTGTGGCTGCAGAGAGCTGTTCAAGCCCTGCTCGTGCATTATGTGGATGGCGGATAAGGAAATACACATAATCCAAAGCTTTCATATGCGGTTTAAACAAGCAAAATAATCACCCCCTTTTCCCCTGGATTTTAATGTAAGGTATGCGTGTCTATGCGCATCTGTATGTGTGGGGTAATGCTAGGCTCGTTAAGTTAAAAGTAATCACCATGTTGTTGGGGTATTTTAAATATTTTTTTTGCAACCATAGTAAGGCTGTTAGAACTCTGCAGCTACCCATACTCAGCTGATCCCTCATTCTTGTGGTCTTCAAACTGAAATATCAAGACATAATTGACTATAGTATTGTTTTTGAGTAATAGATTTAGAGCTGGTTTTCTGCTGCTCAGCAAAAAAGAAATTATCTGTATCCCAACTTTGCTGGTTACAACCTAGCATATTCACTTTCCTACTTTTTCATGCACAACAGACAACTTTGGTGGCTCTTCACGAAAGCCAGCAGATAGTGGGGTGGTGGCGGTTTCAGGGTGTTGACACCTGCCATTCTGGGAAAGTGTGCATGAGAGCTTTTTAAGTCACTAAGCATACACATATCTGAGATAATTTTATATTTTAGTTAATTAATTAATTAAGCAGTCTTGTAAGTTTGTTACACTCATTACTTTTCAGCTTGCCCAAGGATCAATCAGCTGCACTTGTACGGGGAATGTAATGGGATTATTTGCACACACTGAATTTTTTGTTATGTGTGTCACAGTGAAGAAAAAGACTTTTTCTTTAAGTGATGTAAGGGCTAGGTGTGTATGAGAGGCAGAGAAAAAAGGAAGCCTCTGTTTGCAAACATGGTTAAGCTGAGAGGAAAAGAAATGTGCAACTGTCTGTGAGTATCAGTGAGGAAGAGAAAAGGAGATACTAAGAGTGATGCTGGCTTTGCCTACTCTCACTGACAGCCCAGCATATACCTGTCATTACCTCTGGTCATATCTACCCTTGGTATGCAGTCATGAGGGGGAAAATATTTACTGTTCTTGAGTTAGAGAGTCTGATCCACTCTTTTCTTGTGCTCATCTTGCATCCTTCAGCAAAACTCTTCATTGGTTGCCTTCTATAAGACAGATGTTGCAACAACCATGTGTGTCCTATTCTGCAGTTGCCAGTGTCCAACTCACCAGGAAGCATACCAGCCAGGGTTGTAATCTTTGAAGAGTGACCAGCAAGGAAAACCTAAACAGCTAGACTGGACTGGTATACAACAGAGGCAGAAGTAAGGAGTTCGATAGTGCTGGGGAAAGAATGGTCAGAGTACAAGCCATAACTGTAAATCACAGTTCTGCTGGGATATCAGTTTGAGCATACAGTAGAGTTGCAAACAGAGCAATCAAGGAATCGTTAAGGTCAGAATACCAGGAGATCAGTCAAGGTAAAAACCAACAAGACAAGATCACAAAAGAGGACCAGAAATGCAGAATGGGAGAAAGACATATATAACCTCAATAGTAACAGGGATGTCTGGGGTGTGTTTCACAATCTTTTCCATAGTAGCACACCCTAAATCTATTTATTTATTTATT